ATAAGCAAATGAATTAAAAACTTGAACACCATCTGATCTGAATTGCCATGTCATGATTGCTACAAAACCTTATCACTATTCAATGTTCATTTTAAAAAGATGTTACAAGTAATTATGGAAGCATAGAATTTAAAATTTAAAATGCGGAATGTAAAATGTAAAAATGTAAAAATGTAAAAATGTATGCAGACAATGAGACACCGGACCATTCAACAGGTAGACAATAAAGATTCATTCATGCATTCAACAGGTCTATTAGGTTCGGAATTGAGCTATTTCTATAGCGGTTCGTTTTACAATGAAATTGACGATACTTGGTCCTTCTTGTTGGTCAACCTACATTATTGTTAACAGGTAACCAATGTTTACAAAGTGGGTTGTTGACAAGAGATGAAGCAAAATTAGTGCATAATTGTTTGCGTCTATCTGACAGGGTCTGCAAAGAACACACTTCAAGAGCTTTGTCATAATTAATATATTGATCACCTAATATGGTCCTACATGCTCTTTTCTGGATTCGTTCCAAACTTAAGATATGACTTTGGGTGAGGTTTCCGTTAAAAACAGGTACTCCATAATCCAATATTGGACGAATATATCCCTTGTAAATTGTTCCTAGATCACAGAATGGCAATCTGTATGTTTTGAGAATACGAAGCATGAAAAGTTTTTTTTATTAGCACGGCATAAAAGGTCTGAGATATGACTGTCCCATTTCAAATCGGACTGCACAGTTATTCCTAAAATGTTTGCTTTTTGTACACTGTTTAAGCACTCATCCCCAATAAAAAAAGGTCTCTGATCAGCTATATTCTTAGAAAAAGAGATAAACATACAATGACATTTCGATGGATTAAGAGTCATATTATTACGAAGAGACCATTGATAAAAATCAGATAAAGTATTTGGTAATTTAGATGGTTGTGATAATGTACGACTTTCAACTAATGTCAGATCGTCTACATACTTGAAGTATGGTATTTCTGAGTTAAAACAAGCATCATTTATCATTATTAGGAAAATAATTGGTCCTAATTTTGTACCCTGTGCTACACCGGCATGAGACGTTGACCAGTCTGAAAAATGACTAAGATATTTCATACGTTGTTGACGGTGTTCAATAAAATCTAAGATCCATGAAATAATACAAGGCCGAACATGAACATACGATCAAAAGCTTTTGAAAAGTCTGTGAATATAAGTGTAGATATGGACCGAGAATTTTCTGCATTTTTATAAATCTGGTGAAGCAAACGAATTAAGTAATGATTAGTTGACAGACCTTGACGGTTTCCGTATTGATTAATATCAATTTGAAATGAAATGTCTTCGAGTAACCATTTACATATATAAGACTCTGCTATTTTCGCAAAATAACTAGTTAGTGCTATAGGTCTTAAATTCTGAGGTATTACAGGCTTACATTTAGGAATTGGCGTAATCTCACATCGTTTCCACTGATATGGTACCACTGACAACTGGAAAGAAGTGTTTAAGATATCAGTAAGAGGTGTACAAAATTCCAGTGCAAATTCTCTAAGAATTCGCACTGGTAAGTCTCCACTTATAACAGACTTTTGTTGGTTTAACGAACTCAATTGTTTAAAAACTTCATAAGGTCATACAATCGGACATGTTTCCTGAGCTGGTAAGTAAGCAGGTAAATCATTCCTACTGAGACCTGGAAGATCAGATGCCACCGCTAAAAAATGCTCGTTTATATAATTAGCAATATATTTGAATTTGTCGGGATCATTCGGGTCAATATTTGGTACTACAATTGGAGTATGTTTCTTTTCAGTATTTGTTAAAATCCGAATCTGCTTATACCAAGCTGCTGGGCTGTCATTTTTTAAGTTGCGAACTCTGGTGTTATAATATGAAATCTTCTGTCGTTTTATCAACCGTTTAACCTTGTTTCTTAGATGATGCCACCAACTTTTTGATTTGTTATTAAAAGCTTGCTGTCTTTGGCGGATAACATCTTTAACTTCAGCATTTATCCAAGGCTTATCTCTACAATGCAAACGAATCTCCTTAGTAGGAACATGTATATCCAACTGAGACTGAATTGTATCTAAAAACATTTTACATTTCATAGATGGGTCTTTTACACTGAACATCTCTTCCCATGTTTACACAGTCATATGGATACGGAAATATTGGTAGTTAGCAAGCTTGTGGAACATTATTATTAATAAGATTAGAAGTTATCAAAATTGTGGAACACTATTATTGATACGATTGGAAGTTATCAAAATTGTGGAACAATATTATTGATTTCCTAGAAAAATTATAAAAACATAGGAATCAAAATAAGAAGGATGTGATAGAATACATTGATAAATACTATATACAAACAGTACAATTGCTGTTGATGTTAATAGCTGAATACCATAGGTGTCAATTTATATTAACATGAAGGAAATACATTTTTAATAATATATATGTGTATAAAGTAGGTTTACGGTTGCACCAAGTGAGAGAGGGGGATGGTTCCCCCAATCCTACACCTGTCTCACATGGTGCAACCGTCCACCCCTCTGTCACATGGAACAACCGTAAGCCTATATCTACATCACCATGCAAGCCGATAATTATAAGCAGTATATGCACCTTGTTTGTATATTGCTTTTTTTTTCTGCGAAAAGATGCAGAAATAGAATCAATCAAATATCAAACAAAATAGACGTCAAAAGCTCTTTTGTTCGCATGAGCATTTATTTTCACGAAAAAGAGGCCCAAATCAGGGTTTTGTGAAACACTCCTGTAATGTTTAGCACTGTGTATTTTGCTAACCAGTCAGGCACAGCTTCAACGTATCGACCACAAGGCAATCAACTTTAAAAGGTCAATGCGTGGCAGTGAGTACAAAAGGCATGTGGAAAATCTTGCAAAGTCATCCTTCTATTGATATGCAATTCAAAGTTTTTGGAAATTTTGAAAATTGGGTAAATAGTGATTCTTTACAATTTTGATATATTTGGATGCCCCTGTGGATGTTTTATAAGCACTAGAAAATGTAGCCCCTAGAACACCCCTGCTTTCGAGAAAAATAGAATATACGAATTTACCGGTGCTCCCGGTAAATTTTGATAAATTTCAAATGGCGCCTACGGCTGTATAATGGTAGCTGCGACCATGAAAATCTCAGAATATGTAGTTGTGATATATAATTTCCAAACGGGAATAGCTAATCGGCCAATTTTAGTCAAGAAACATTGTTTTACAACTTAACTAATATCTTGTCCTTAAGAGGGAGCTATACAACATACGGAGTTTATTATTTACAATTTCATACCTTTAGACTCGATTTCAACCGCGACAATGGACACTGAATATTGTAGGATCGCATATGATTCCAATATGTTCATTTGAACAAAATTCATGACCCCATACCAAAAGTTTGTATTACCTTTAAAAAATGCTGTGGGTCTAATTTTTTTTAAAGTCCTTGAATAGTTTTTTATGTAATATAACTTTCCGATAGCAAATATTCGCTTACACGAGAAAATATTTCTTTCCCTTTCTTTCTACACCATACAGGATAGTTTTGTACCGCCTAGCACGTATCAGCATCAAGCAATACCTGACCTTTATCGTAACCCCCGCGATTGGAATATCAGCCACAAGTTTAATACAGAACCCAAGCATCAGTATGCCCTAGATGTCTCTACTGAAACCAGTTGTTCCTCTATAAATGCGCAACCAGACCATATAGGTGACGTTCACAGGGAAGGCTACCCACCAAGGCGTCATGAAGAACACATGTCACTTACTTCAGGTGCCTCAAAAGAAGGATCACGGAAGTTTCATCGCTTTCAGTCTAAGGGGCCTACAGGTAACAGATTATTTTCGCTTGAAGATCTCACTCAGGTAATACAGGATGAAACAGGGAAGCAGCCGAGCCGGGCAACTTGCATGTCTTTGTTGAAGTCCTATTACGCTGAAGCTATGATGAAACGCGACCTGATAAAAGATCTTCTCGTGGAGCTTCAGACCTCAAACCATTACCAAGGAGTCACCCGAGATTCAGCATTCCTCTCAAGTAGACATCATCAATATCGCAAAGACTCATGTCCAGATGGTTCCGTTGCAAATCATATGCAAATGTCACCAGGTCCTTACAAAGACATATCTGTATGTTCTGCTCTGAACGCCTTTCCACAATCTGGGAAAGATACCAACTTCGATGATAGAGGGATCAAGTTGCATCCATCAGAAAAACGCATTGCATCTAGTCGTAATCCGCCACCCGTATACCAAGAAGGATGGAGTAATGAAGGTAGTGTCGGCTCAGAGTCCGGGACACCTCCGGTCCTTACAACCCAAGGATGGGCAAGTGCTTCCCAGACTCCAAGTGCCTCTAGATGTCTACCTTCCTGGCGTCTCCCACCGACGGTTTCACAATCTATTTCACCAGGAGTACAGCCTCCGAACAAGACCAATTTGAGACAACAGTATCTATATCCTACATCCACACCACGTACAAGAGTCTTATCGCAAGACGCTGAATCAACCAATATGACAACTCTACAACCTCAGTCTGTCGGTAAGAATAGCTTAGTTCGGGAGCTTCCACAATTCATGCATCAAGGATCAACAGTTTCATCCACCAATCGAATGCAATCCAATGATGTTTGGATACCTCCCGTATCAAGACCTACCAGCATTAGAGGCCCACAAAGTTCCGTGCCAGTTTGTGTGACATCAGACCAACTACAGTCCTTGAGTCGGCAGTACCGTCTGGGCAGAACCCTACACAGTGTCAAAAAGGGTGTCAACTGAAAAGAGTGCAAGATGTATCGATCATACCTACACCAAACATCGTGAACGATGCGCGCTCTCTGGCAGCATATGATACAGAAACAATGTCATCAAATAAACCTTCCTCTAATGGCCCTACAACACAAAACGTGTCGAACATACCTACGCCAAACGTCGCTAACGATACGCACACTCAAGCAGTGTATGGTACAGAATAAATGTCACCAAACAAACTTCCCTATAATGGTCTTACAACACCTGACTCCGCCTCTCTGCCAAGCACTAAACCAACATACTCTTTTGCAGGAGACGAACCTACACCAGTTAATGGCATAAAACCAAAACCCAGGTGCAGCCAGTGCTTTAGCACCTTCCTGACGGAAAGAGCATACACCAAACATATGACTACATACCACAGCCAGACAAAGCCACATATCTGCGGCTTTTGTGGAAAGGGATTTCATGACAAGTTTGACCTGAAGAGGCACTACCGAACACACACAGGTATAAATCTTGTTATATTGCAAATCTCGCTTGTACGAAATCTTTATTTCTAAAAATCTAATGTTAAGCTTTCGTACATGACTGTAGCTCAATCGGCCAGAACTTCTTTTAAACGGACTATGGCAGGCCATATTTACCTATACAAAACATCGTTTTGCTTGTGAAGGATATTTCGGAACTTTGCTATCCTTTTACAACATCATTGATAGCTTTCTAGACCTTAATTTCAACACTATTATAGAAACATTCTTCTACTGAAAATTGCAATACCTAGCCTTAGTATGGACATATTTTGATTTCGAATGGCTTGTACTCGCCACAGTGTTTTTTGAATAATTTTCAAAACTTAGAAATCATGTACGCTGTCTTCTCCTGTAGATATCTGAACAAACCCTTGTATTGATGGAAGTAGCCTCTTCCACAGACAAGAGTCTTGCTTAGTCCATAATCTGACCGATTTCATTTTAAGAATCTCTCCAATGGGAGCTCCTATACCTACTGCAATGCAAGCCGTAGATTTCGTAGACCCGAACAAATTCGAGAATGTGCAATATTTCGCCAGGTGTCCGACTTCGGGAACATACTATCTTCGGCTTGTGCATATAGAAGGAGATCGCGTAATTAGAAAATTCTTGCAGTAGTATCAACCAGATTCTGGTGTACTAATAATTTAATATCTCTCTCGAAGTTATACTAATGGTCTTATTTATCATTTACTCGATTAATGTCTTCACAGGTGTCAGACCGTACAAGTGCAGCCAGTGTGCACGTTCTTTCACTCAGCGCTGCTCCCTTGAGACACACGTCAACAAAGTGCACGAGATGCCACTCGCCTTCACATTCAAGGAGCGGCGAGAAAAGATATACGTATGCGAGGATTGCGGACATTCTGTGAAGGACGCGTTTGAGCATTACCTCCACATGTGGGTCGCGCACTCGCGACTGGCCATGCCCAAGCGTCTTCGACAGAAAGTGCTACACAGGATAAAGTACATCCTAAAGGCTCAAAATGGCGGTGATAAAAATGAAGAGGAACTTTTGGCAGACACCAAAGTTGTCACTCAGTCAATTTGTCAAGTGAAGATTTTATCATTTGGAAAGTAATAGTCCTTTGGAATCGTTGGATATGATTCATGGTGAATGTATTTCGTAGATACCTAGGCTGCATTGATTTATTCAGTACTGAAGTCAAAGTTTGTGGGCATTTTACTCAGTTTTCAGCTTCGATAAAAACTTGATTCTTTACGAAACGGGACTAATGCTTCATAAAACGGCTTATAATTGAAACTTGAAGTATACTAAATTTGTTTTATGGGGATACAAAGACCGCAACAGAGTCCTTCGCGCTTTCGAGATTCCTCGTCTTCGACGAGCCAGCACATCGCAGCAGTCCGCGGACGCCGACATGTCTAGACCGTGCATCACAGTTCGCACGGGCATCCCGGCGGCGATGAAGCGTTAGCATAGTCGTCCAGCACAGATCGCATACACCCTCCGATTTGGACAAAACCTGATGACGCGTACTAAAGTTTCAAACAAAAATGTAATTCTCCAAACCATTATTGATCTAGGGACGTTAACTGGAACACTTCGGAAAAAACCTACATCTTTGCATTTCTCTGGAAGTGGTAACTATCTTTAATATTAATTAATTGATATGTTATTACTTCACTTTGTAAATGCTTCAGACCACAACAGTAGCCATTAGAAATAAATTATATTCGGATATGAGTTATATTATTTCTGTTCTTATCTTTTAACTTCTTAGTATGTATTAATATAAATGCTGTATCAGAATTGTGAAGAAAGAATGTTTCTCATCTTTTAAATGATTACACTTAATCTGAAGAAAAAAATTGAAAATAAAAAACAAAACAATTAGTATTATTGGACACATGAATTAATTCTAACAACTTGAGGATAATTATTATCCCATTTCCCTACAATTCCTTTGCTATTTATTGTCTTGGTCTCTGTAACCTTTCACAAAAAGGCATTATGTGTGGTATTGATCACAATTGTTCTCTTTTTACGCCTATATTATATGTACTAATATTTTTTACAATTTCTTGTTTTTTTAAACACATGTTCTAAGATAAAACGAATTAATTCTAACAACTTGACTTTAATGTTATCCCATTTTCCTGCCATTTCTTTGAAATTCACTGTCTCGGTCTCTGTAACCTTGAACGAAAAGGCATTATAATATTGATCAAAATAGTTCTCTTTGTAGACCTTTATTGTATGTTACAATATTTTATAATATCTAGTTTTTTATACACATGTTCTAAGATAAAATAAATTAATTTTAACAACTTGACTACAATTGTTATCCCATTTTCCTCCCATTTCTTTGAAATTCATTGTGTTGGTCTCTGTTACCTTGAACAAAAAGGCATTATAATATTGATCAAAATAGTTCTCTTTGTACGCCTATATTGTATGTTACAATATTTACAATTTCTAGTTTTTTTAAACACATGTTCTAAGATAAAATGAATAAATTTTAACAACTTGACTACAATTGTTATCCCATTTTCCTCCCATTTCTTTGAAATTCATTGTGTTGGTCTCTGTAACCTTGAAGAAAAAGGCATTATAATATTGATCAAAATAGTTCTCTTTGTACGCCTATATTGTATGTTACAATATTTTATAATTTCTAGTTTTTTTAAAGATAAAATGAATTAATTCTAACAACTTGACTATAATTGTTATATCATTTTCATCCCATTTCTTTGCAATTCATTGTCTTGGTCTCTGTAACCTTGAACAAAAAAGGCATTATGTGTGTTATTGAACACAATTGTTTTCTTTGTACGCCTATATTGTATGTTACAATATTTTTTAATTTCTTGTTTTTTTTATACACATGTTCTAAGATAAAATGAATTAATTCTAACAACTTGACTATAATTGTTATTTCATTTTTATCCCATTTCTTTGCAATTCATTGTCTTGGTCTCTGTACCTTGAACAAAAAAGGCATTATGTGTGTTATTGAACACAATTGTTTTCTTTGTACGCCAATATTATATTTTGCCATTTCTACACGTGTTCTAAGATACCATATCACATGATTCCCTCCATTTGTCGGCATTATTTTACCATGTGTTGCGTAATACAACTCCCATTTATTGAGGTGAGAAAGAAGAGAAAGAAAGATTGGAAAGAAGAAAAATTGTATATTTGTAAATTCGATATAGCATGTTCTTGTGGAAAAAACGGGAAAGAAAAAAAAATCATATATAGATATTGTAATTTGTCGGCATTATTTTTCCATGTGTAATATTCTACATATCCAATGTATTTAGGTGAGAAAAAAGAGTAAGACAGAAAGGCAAAAAACAAAAAGTATATATTGATATTGTAATTTATTTCTTGTATTTGTTATTCTTCTTACAGCTCACTCGTATTCAGTTAGAAAAGAAGGGAAAGAAAAATACATTTATTGTGACTTTGATTTTATATGTTTTATGGCTGCCTTGTAATTATATGGGAATAGAAGAGAAAAAAGGTATTGGGAAGAAAAAAAAAATCTTTATTGCTTTAGCTCTCTCGTATCAAGGTAAAAGGAAGGAGAGAAACAAACTCTGCAATTTCTGTCTTTCATGTGTTTTATATTTCTCTCTCTTTTCAATTTACCCGTAACATATATGTTGTTTTACATTTTGTGGGGTCTCAGTCTAGTCTAGTAATTGTTTTGTCTGTATTTGAGGTCAGTCGTATAATTAAGTGAACCTACACACAGCAAGCTTAGCTGTCAAATAGATCCATTTCTATTTTTGTACTGAATGGTTTATAGAATATTATTTCATGTTATCAATTACTGTTATTCAAGATTATCCATGCGTCCATATTACTTAAAAATAGAAATGTTTGGTAAAATGTATTATGCTTTGTTACTTTTCTATGGAGTCATCTAACTCAGTCTAGGCATTTGTACCCCAGGCTTACATGTGTCAAACATTTACATGAAGCTATATTTACCTGTGTAAATTAAACCTAATTTTCTGGCTTTTCTTTCACATAATCCAAATTTCTATAAGGGTAGAAACCCATTTTTAATGCAAGTCTTCTTTACTGAATACGGATATTCAATGCATGTACTGGATGATTGATGTATATCTATGTATCATTGTCACAACAGCTTGGTCCACCGTACTGTTTATTTGAGGTTTTATTATCCAATCGTTCAAATACACTTATATGATAATAATAACCAGTGCGTTGGCTCTTACCGGTGTGTTGGCTAAGTCAGTAGAGCGTCCGACAAAATCTCAGTTGATGTGCTAAAAAATGAGCAATTTATTCACTTTTATTAAATTCTTTCCAAAACGGGACTGACGCTTCATAAAAAGGCTTATAATTGATACTTAAAGTATACTTAATTTGTTTTATGGGGATGCAAGACAGCAACAGTGTCCTTTGCGCTTTCGAGATTCCTCGTCTTCGACGAGCCAGCACATCGCAGCAGTCCGCGGACGCCGTCATGTCTAGACCATGGATCACAGTTCGCACGGGCATCCCGGCGGCGATGAAGCGTTATCATAGTCGTCAAGCAGAGGTCGCATGCACCCTCCGACTTGGACAAAACCTGATGACGCGTACTAAAGTTCTAAACAAAAATGTAATTCTTTAAACCATTTTTGACCTAGGGACGTTATTTTGATTTGATTTGATTTTATTTGATTTATTGGTTTCTGCATCTTTTTTCTTTTTTTTCATCATACATTTTCATGAACATAACATGGCTTGATACAATATTTCAAGTGTATATAATTTTATACAGATAATAAACGATATTAAACGAATGTATTGAATTTAAACAAATATATTGAATGCATAATTAACATACATTAGATGCAGGAGGGCTACAGTAATAAGCAAAGTAGCTTGACGTGCCGGCAGCCAGGCGCGGATCCAGGATTTCTTAGGAGGGGGGGGGGGGGGGGGGGGGGGGGGGGGGGGGGGGGGGGGAGGAGGACACTTTTTTTTTTGGTCTCGAAATTAGAAAATTTGACATTTTGTTCCGTTGGGGGGGGGGGGGGGTGAGGTCACCTTTTTTAGTTCAGCCATTGGCATATTTTTGTTTATTTTCTTTAAATTAAAAAAAAAAAAAAAAATCACAGAAAGGGGGGGGGGGGGTTGCTCCAAAATACACACATAAAAAACCGAAGGGGGAAGGGTCAACCCCCTAACCCCCTCCCCCCTTCCGTACGTGCCTACTCGTCTGAAAATAGTTTTTCCCCTCCCGCGCGAAGCGCGGAAGCTTTTACGTTTCATTAAATCATTAGAAAAAGAAGACGATTCGTTGTACAGTTTTTTACTCTTAATCCTCGTCTTAATTCATCCCCCTCTCCCGCGCAAAGCTCGGAAGCTTTTACGTTTCATTAAATCATTAGAGAAAGAAGATGATTCGTTGTACCGTTCTCGACTCTCAATCCTCATCTGAATTCAGTTTTCCCCTCCTCCCTCCCTCGCGAAGCGCGGAAGCTTGTACGTTTCATTAAATCATTCGAGAAAGAAGACGATTCGTTGTACCGTTCTCGAAAATAATCCTCGTCTGAATACAGGTTTTATGTTTCATTAAATCATTAGCGAAATAAAACGATTCGTTGTACCGTTCTCGACTCTTAATCCTTGTCTAAATTAAGTTTTTCCCCCGCCTCGACGTTTCATTAAATTTTTAGAGAATGAAGACGATTCGTTGTTCCGCTCTCGAAAATAATTTAGTTTCCCCCACCCGCGCAAAGCGCGGAAGCTTTTACTTTTCATTAAATCATTAGAGAAAGAGGAAGATTCGTCGTACCGTTCTCGACTCTAAATCCTTGTCTAAATTCAGTTTCCCCCCTCCCACGCGAAGCGCGGAAGCTTTTACGTTTCATTAAATCATTAAAGAAAGAAGACGATTCGTTGTACAGTTCTCGACTCTTAATCCTTGTCTAAATTCAGTTTTCCCCCCGCTTCGACGTTTCATTGAATTTTTAGAGAATGAAGACGATTCGTTGTTCCGCTCTCGAAAATAATTTAGTTTCCCCGCGCAAAGCGCGGAAGCTTTTACTTTTCATTAAATCATTAGAGAAAGAGGAGGATTCGTCGTACCGTTCTCGACTCTTAATCCTCGTCTAAATCAATCCCCCCCCCCCTTCCGCG